CCCCCCCCCCCCCAGCGCCTGGTCCACGCGGCTCCAGACGGGCACATCGGAATGGTCTGAGCCGTTTTCCAAAAGCAGATCCCCGGGGTCGCTCCTAATCACATTTGCTACTTCTCGGGCTTTCCTGGGATCTTCGTTTTAACCTGCGCCTCTGGTGGGCGGAATTGCACACTGGAGTCGGAGCGCCCCTGCTTGGTCTCTGCCTGTTTCCTCCCGAATGAGGTACTGCTCTTGGTAGGCATCCCCGGTAGGTTTAACTTGCTCTTCCAAGCCCTCCTCTGCGGACGACTTCACTTGGGCAGGCGGCATGGCCTCGAGAGGGGATTCACGCTGGCTTAAGCCCAACGTGGGCCGGAAATCTACACGCCCCACGTGCAGTGGAACCGTAGACTCTTGTTGAAGCCACACTGCCCACACCTACAGCTCAGCAGAGTGCCTCTTTATTTTTTTTTTTTTAACCCAATCGAGAGAAACGTTTTACCTCCTCTAAGCTATCATGAGAGTATATAACAAAGCTTACAAAGTCAACACTTGAGGGACACTGATCCTAGGTAGATAAAACATATGCACCCTCGCTGGGGTTTCATTCAGACCTTTCGTGATGCTGAGGATGAACCCAAACACTAAGCAAGAACTTTATCATTGAGCTGTACCCCCCAACTCTCAGTACATTTTCTCTTAGCCTTGTTCATTTCCTTCCTTCTTCCTATTACTGCAAAGGAAAGGTTGTTGAGATAAAATGAAACAAAAATAAAGGGCCAAATGCTTAGAAAGTAGTACTTTTAGTATGTTTGTTTGTGGCTTTTGGGGGGGGGGGGATACGAGACAGGGTTTCTCTGTAGCTTTGGAGGCTGTCCTGGAACTCACTCTGTAGACCAGGCTGGCCTCGAACTCACAGAGATCCGCCTGCCTCTGCCTCCCGAGTTGCTGGGATTAAAGACGTGGGCCACCACTGCCCGCTAGAGCGTAGTACTGTTGAATAACCAGTCTACCCCTCCCTCTGGTTACCTTTTGAAAAACAGAATATTAGATGCTGTCACTCCTGTAGCTAAAATCCTTCACTGGGAGCTGGGAAGATGTCTCTTGCTGCTCAATCGTGAGAGAACTGAGTTCAAATCCCCAGAACCCATGTAAAAAGCTGGAGGCCAGCATCTGAAACCCAGCACAGACTGGAGGACTATGTGTGGGGTTTTTTTTTTGGGTGGGGGGCGTGGGGTGTTGCTGGCTGCCAGCCTAGCTCCAGATGTTATGAGACACTGCCGCAGAACAAGACACCCAATGTCCTACTTTGACCTGCATGAGTACATGTATGTACATATACTGTTCCTTCACTGGACTGTATGCCACTTATAAAGTCCAAGCTTTCTACTTAAATCAGGCCCTTCACAGCTGCACTGCCACACCTGACACCCGCCCTACCTCCTTTGCTTCTGTAGTATAGTCTTTTCTCTCAAGGAAAGGTATCACAGCTCCTAAACACATAGGTCTCTTCCTAATTAGTTCCCTTTCCTCTTACGTCAGCCATTCCTTTGTCCTGGTAAACTCAGGCTTAACCTGATCAAAATCTGTTCTCTTCATCCCTGCCCAGCCAAGCTTTGTCCTGTCCTGGACTGTTGTCACATATAAAGGGCTTCTCTCTCACACTCTTCTCACTCTTCTATTTGTTTGTTTCAGTGCTAGGGATCAAGCCCAGGGCCTCCCGTGTTCCAGGCAGTCTCTACCACAGAGCTTCAATCTCTGTAATGACTGCCCTAAGAGACGGAGCTACATTGGAAGGGCTATGGCTCCTATACAAGATGATCAGGAAATGATTTCAGAGTTCAAGAATGACTGTTTGCATACACTCACATCTGCATAAGACTTGTTTAGCCCATACATTCTGTTCCCAGGCCAGTTTCCAGTTTGGCTTGCTGTGTAGCCAAGGACTCCACCCGGGTTCCGTGACTCAGCCTGAGTGAGGGTGCAGGGGTTTTGGTGGGGAGGTGGGGTTGACTATCCTGCTGGGTAGCTGTCAGACCTCTTCTAGGACAAAGACTTCTAAGGTAGTTAGCTATATTCTACCTAGAGGCCCTGT